AGCAGGAATAGATTTTCTTAATCTAAATATGGCTGAAGAATGAGTATTACTGTAATAATTTCAAAATTATTTTAAGTAATTCTGTAAAACCATAGTTCTGAACATCCATTTTTCTGCCCAGCTGTTTTGTTTGTTGTTTGTTTTTCTTTTCTTTCCCCTCTTAAAAATATTTTGAACATAGCCACAGTCGAAACAGAAGGCAAAAAAGAGGTGATCTGTTCTAATTTTTAAAATTAACTTAATCTTCCAGCAGCAAGAAGATCAGAAGGGGAGGATGGAAGTTTGGATCAGGACAGTAAGAAGGTAATGATCAGAAAAAAAAAAAGGAGTAGTTTGTTGAGCTTTCTTGAAGCAACTCTTTTCTGAAACATTTTCATACATAAAGGTATTATTTGAGAGAACTGAAATAATCATTACTACTTTTAGGTCTTTCCAAGAAGATGTAGAAAAGCTTAATCTCTCTAGAGGGAGAGAGGGTTTAGAATCTACATTCTACAGTAAAGAAAGGAGTAGGGATGAAGAGCAGTAAGCTCATGGATTTTCACTCACTCTCAAATATACATTGGTAATTCAGCTGAGCCTGTGGACTTTTACTTAGGGTGCATCTTAACATATAAGAAAAATGTTAACAGTGGATTAATTATAAGAAAATGACATGGTGCATCTTCAAAAGTGGGACGCAGTGGGCACCCTAATTAACAGAGATCCTCAGCCCAGCTGAAAGCTAAAAGTTTTTGGTAGCTGTGATGTCTAATGGGGAGTCTCAGGATACAGTCACATTTTGTACTTTGGTAAAATGTTGGTACAGGATGTACCAAGCATAAACATACTGTCAGTTCACAAGACTTCCCAGACAGGTGGAGTAGGAGAACTGCATTCAGATGTCAAATCCTGAATCCTATAACGGGCTTTTTACTCTCTTCAGCTAAAGGCCAGTTGGCTTATTCTGAAAGGGGATATGGACACCAGAACTAATTCCCCGGATTCGGACACCCGGTCCCTGTCTCTTACTGCCGGAAGCGACAGAGAAAACTTCCCAAGGACACAGGAGGGCACAACTACCGGCTACTCCCGTGAGTACTGTGTCCCTGGCCCACCGGCACTGCCAGGCAGGGATGTGACAAAGGAGGGTGGCCCTGCTGTGGTCTCGTTCACATAGCTCTCTAGTCAGCTTTACACTTCATTTCTCTATCATATTTACACCTATTTGTCAGTTTGTTTTGCTATGGCTTGTGGTGTTCAGTGCCTTCAGTCTTTGATTGTGAAACTAGTAGAAGAAGCACCATTGCCTGTATAAGGAAACTGTATTATCTCTTGGGTTCCTTACCACAAAAATCTGCCTCTCATTAATACATAAAAGTACCTATTTATTATCATGGAATCATAGAATATGTGGGGTTGGAAGGGACCTTTAAAGATCATCTACTCCAACCCCCCTGCAGTGAGCAGGGACGTCTTTAACCAGATCAGGTTGCTTAGAGCCCCATCAAGCCTGACCTTGAATATCTCCAGGGCTGGGGCCTCCACTACTTCACTGGGCAACCTGTGCCAGTGTTTCAACACCCTCATAGTGTAGAACTTCTTATATAGTATTTCTTTTCAGTAGACAAGATGGTAGTATCAGGCAGTTTGTTAACCTGTGCTAATTACTCCTTGATACAAACTGTGTATTTTGAATATTGGTAGAGCCATTTCTTCTGTATTGTGATAAAACATAAAGAACACTTTGCTCCAAAGGTTAACTTAGAATAGGCTTTTTTAATTGTCTCTCACAGTTATACCTGTTAAGTTCACAGAAACCTTCCAGGTGGAATAATGCGGTAATTTTGTTATTAAATACTGATCTGAAGACCATGTGCCCACACTAGCTGTCAGTGCCAAAAGCATGTTCTACACATTCCTTACTCCACATTTCAGCAATTCAGGTGGTGTAAGAAAGAGTCATCAGAATCGGGTCTGAATTTTACTTCTACATTCCATAAATGAAAAAAAAATCAGTGAAATAGATTTTAACAAATAACTGGGCCATTCCTCTCCCTGCCTCCCCCACTTCACGCCACACAGCAGCAGAAGGTCATCTCGGGTAAATGAGCTGGGGAAGTAGTTTTCCAAAAGCATGCATCCAATGCAAGGCATGTCTGGCAGCAGGGCTAGGATGTCAGTCTTGTGGGCATTTTGGTATTGTGATAGCTGGCTCCATCAACTTATATTAAGGAAATTATGGCTTAGCTATGCAAGGAAGAGGAAAAACAGATGCTACCAAGTCTGTCACAAGGCTGTAACAAGATAAAGAAGAGAAGTTATTTTGAATCATCAGTTCCACTGGTCTAACCTGAAGGGATCTGATTCCTTAACCTTCACCAGACATCATGTACATGTGCACAAGGTGTATTGTAGGATTCTTTGTGCAGGGGAAACCAAGTCTGACCACCTCACACACCTAACTTCTGTAAGTCATTGCTCAGAAATGATCACCTAAACCTTTCATTGTAATGCACATGTTGGGTAGGTTTGGAGGCTCTCTGGAGTTGATCTGATGCTTTTCTACATATGTATTGAGAGAATAGTCATTGCATGCAAATTTTAAGTAGGTATGTAGCACACCAGGGACTATGGTATACAGGAACAACATACAGTGTCAATTTTTTACTTATATTGCTACACCTGTCACTGTGCGTTTTTTAATGTTTTTAATTATCTTGGGAATGTGGAGCTATTAAAACTAAAATTGCAAAAAATAGTTCACACCTTTGTCAGGCTCAGTATCACCTGTGTGCCAATACAATATTGCTCATGTAGCTCATTTTCCATTTTTTTTCTTATATTTCTCTGTCCCTTGGTCCTGTTACCCAATTAGCAGCTACAGAGAAGTGACACTGAAGAAGTTTGCTTTCCTTGACATTCATATTTTCTATTTTCCTTTCTTTCTGATTTTATTCGGGCACCTGACTGTTTTTTTTTACCTTGACATCCTAAATAATTCCTTCTCTACTCAGTGTTTCCCCATTTAGTTCTGAGTATTTGTAGTCTGTCCCATGCCCTGTTGGCCATGGAAGAGTACCTTCTTGCACTTACGGTTCAGACCTCTGACATTCAGTCCCATCTCTGTGGCACAGTAAGTGAGTATTGGAGAAAATAAACCTTTCGGGTATAGGTTTGATACTAAGTGGCTACATAGCAGGCATCAGACTGTGAATCTCCGGCGATGTGTCCAAACACGCTGTGCAAACAGCCCTGCCTTCATCTGTCCAGCCTCTGAGCAAACCACAGAAGGATTATTCTCCTCTAGAAGATTTTTAGCACGTTATGTTAACTATATGCCCAGAAGAATACATCTAACACCAAAGTACATCAGTATGAGGCTGGTGTAATTAGCAGACATCTGGAGTGGAGTTTGCATCTCCTTACATCCACCTGTGTAAATGTGTCTTGTTTCTGTATCTGTTCATGTTTAATAGTTAATCATTTACCCTAATTAATGATTTTAAGTGTCACATATTTAGGAAAGCTGGCATCTAGCAAGCTATGTAACGCTTGCTCTTCATGTGTCCCTGATGTGGTAAAAGGCTCAGAATATCCAGGTTAGAGTGAATGTTGTACTGGAAAAGCAGGAGCTGTATTCATGCAGAGAGCAGCTGATGTTCTGATAGTGCCCAATTAGAGAGAAAGATTGCTTTATCTTGTCCTGTTACTCCAGAAAATTTACTGTAACGGTACAACTGCAGTTAGATGTGATAAAGAGCAGTCTGTGGTAGTTGCCTTTTAGTGTTATATTTTTCCTTTTTATTAAAAAAAAAGGCAGCTAAATAAAACGTGTTCAACTTTGTGACTTAGTTAATGGGAAAGAGAAGCTAAGTGAAATACTGTTCCCACTGGAGTCAGTGGGTCTTACTTGTTTTCGGCTGTTTCAGCTGTATTCACCTCTTGGATTTTTTCCAGCTGGCCACACGATGTCGCTTGTGCCCACAGATGTGGCTCAGTCCTGGGAGGCAGCTCCTCAGCTGCTGCCTGCTAAAGTGAATACTTTCAAGTTTTCAGTGTTTTTAAAGTGTTTGTTCTCAAACTGTGGTCTTTACCTTTGTGCATTTTTCCTTGGTAACTGAGTAATGCTATTTGGCAATAGAACAAAACTATCCCACCCATCTTCTCTATAGCCAAGAGGCCAAGAAATTGAACTCCGCACTGCTGTTCAACACCAGCATTATTTTCCAGACAGAGATGACAATTTCGTTGCAGATCCATTTGCTTTGTCTCAGAGGTGCTACATACTCTTTGCCCTCTGGTGTCATTACCATTCAGATTACAAGCAATGATAAGTTTCCACTTTCTAAACTGGAATAAGTAGGTGATCCACCTATTCATTGCTACACCCCTGTATCAGATGGGGAAACTCTGCAGGACCAGCAGCAGAAGTTCTGCTCATAGTTTATACCACTCTTCAGATGGTGGTTGATTATGTTTCTATAAATTCTTTTGCTTTTCTAGATAATCTTCATTTTGCTAGATTAAATAAGTCAAGCTTATCAAGCCTTCTTTCCTGTGATGAGCTTTCATTGCCCCAGTTATCCTGTAGGCCACTACTCTGGTAGAGGATCCCCTGTCACTGCCCAAAATATGATAGTTATTTCTTTATCTTATATCTATCAAGCCAGACATTTTCAACTTTCGCCTTTTTTACACTTACATTAGCAACTCAGGGTCATCTTGTGATTGAGCTGTTTACCTAAGCCTGTCTCCTTCCCTATCATTTCCAAATGATGAGCTCTCAGACTAAGTAGTAGAAATTTGGCGTATTTCTTAGTCCCCAGACACGTGACTTTCCCCATGAATTATTAAATTTTATTCCATTTCTATTGCTCTAATGTTCAAGGTTATCCCAGTTCTTTGTGATATCCTAATCCTCCTCTATATTGAAAGTGCTTTTAACTTCTTTTCAACAACAAATTTTATTTAGCCCATTCCTATTTTTGGTGACCAGATGATTAGTGAAAACATTAGGCAGTTTCAACTCAGCACCAGTCCATGCTGGCACTTTTCTCTATCAGCTCTGCTCAGTTCTTACTACCCGTTTCTTACATTTTATTATTTTCTTTACTGACACTTTAATTCCTCTGATAAACTCCACATTTTCCAGATTTGCATTTAATTCCATGTGCAGCAACATGCAAAACACTTTACTGATATCACATTAGATGAGATCCAATAAAATCTATGTTGTGCAGAAGTCATTTATCTTAACAAAGAAAACTAAGTAAGTCTGGCACTGTGTCTTTAACTTATGTCAAACCAATTAAAATCTATGTGGCTATAATTGATTTTCTGTTCAATCTTTTTGTTCGGACTTTCTGTAAGTTTTCTGTTGGAAGCAAACTGATAGCTCCTCATTATCTTTTCCCCTCTTAAATATAAAAACTATAGTTGCTGTTCTCCAGTGGTAACAGGTATTGGACTTGCAATTTAATGTGAGCTTATCACAACCTGTTTAATTACATTAAATGCTTCAAATTATGTTTCCATCACAACTGCGATTCATTAGCATCCCCTTATTCTGTTAGTTCCCTCCTTGCTCACTACTGTACCTTTTGTTTCTAAAGCCGGAGATGCAATACTCCTTCAGTGTTGGAGCTCTGTGTAGGTTAGCTCTCACCTCTGCTGTGTACTGACGTAGCGTAACTCCCAGTGATCCCATTTCTTCTTTCCTTGTTCTCTTTTTATTTGGATAGCTGGAGAATCTTTTTGCTATTTGTTTTAATATCATTTTCAGTGTTTAACTCAGCTTGACTTCTGGCAGTTCTCACTTCATCTCAGCACATCATGAGTGCTTTGCTGATCCATCTTTTGTTCTTTCTGTATGGTTATTCCTAATCATCTCCTTAGGGTATTTATTAATCCAGTGGGGTCTGGATTCCCTTCCTGCATTCCCCTTTGGATGCAGATTGCTAACATTTTTGACAGAAAGAAGCATTGTACATTCAGTTCTTTGAGCTGACTTCTCTAACTCTTTGCATCCATTTATCAAAGTTTCCTGTACTGGAATCAAGAATGTTTTTGATAGACATGTTTGTTCATCTTCTGCTTAATTTAAACTGATTCAGCTTGTCACTTATATATAGCATTATTTTTATTAACTAAAAACTAATCTGAAACACTTTTTATCCTTTCACTGACAAAAAGAACTTCCAAACTTTCTTATTAGACTCTCAGTACTAAAAGTAAGGCTCTACAGTTGTTTCATACTGACCACAAACAGTTTCATTACCATATTACATCCAGTTTGTTCATGATAACACCACTTTGCCAATTTTGTCTGTTGTAAAACTTCATTTCTCAATTCATGATCTTACTGATTTACTTTATCCATTGCTGTATCTTCATTTATGGTTTTTTCCCCTACTTGAAACAGTAGAAGTTTTAAAGAAAGCAAAATCTTTTTTTTTTTTTTAAGTTGTATGATACCAGCTCTTCTTTTTTAAGAAACAAAACCAAAACCAGACTGCATACATCATGATCAGAAGTGATGTAAATCTAAAACTATGGTACTTTTAATCCCATTTTCAAGTCATAGTTTAACACTAAGTTAGAGGGCAGAGATTTCACAAGCTCTAAAGTTTGCTTTACATCACATAGCTGCATAAGGCTTCCGTAACACAACTCTCTTCATGTCATGCCGGTAAGGTGAGTGCATCCTAACATGCTGTTATTTATAGACATTGTTACACATGTTCATGTACATTAAATACAGAGAAAGGATGAGCATTGGTCACTTATATTTCACCCCGTAAGTAGAATGTACATATTGATTTGGAATTGCTGTTTCTGGTTGTTTTCCTGAATTCTGTTTTTTACTAGTCTATAAAGGATTTACAAAAAATATAGCTCTGTGTTACATCTCTTACAGGATTTCCATATTCTAAATCTGCTTCTCTACCTGGCTGTGGAAAGAATGGCTTACACCAGGTAGGTATACATTTAAATGGATTCTCCAGGCAGTAGTGTATCATAAATAGGCAGCTTAGTAACTAGTTGAAAATCTACACAGTAATAACACTTCAAAGGTGTTTTGGCTGCCAGCCCTGTCTGACAGATTCATACCCTGTGTGGGTTGCAGATTGTCTGTCTGCAAGAGGAAGACAGACGGAGGCTTCTCCTTTTGATTGTATGTGTCATGAGCTTTGGGAATCTTGATTCTCCTCCCAAAACAAACGAAAGTCCAAAACATACAGGCTGCACATATTAATAGATCACAGTATAGCTTTAGTTAATGATAAAGAGGGTTAGGCCTGTAATTAGGCAAGTAATGATCTTAGAGCAAAGGTGGAGCATCCCATGTCCATTGCATTTCTTGAACCATTTACTCTGTTTTTTTCCAGTATGCATGTGTGTGTGTGTGTGTGTGTCTGTATATACATATATACAGTCATTGTATAAGGCGGGGGAGGGAGCAATCTAGAAAGCAAAAGGCAGAAGAAAATTATGATCAGATCAGACTAGGGATTCCTGTTCTAATCTCTTTATAATAGTTTTTGCAATTCCCCAGGACGAAAGCATCTTTGACACTGATCTCTGTTTCTCTATGGCATCCAGCATTATGGGCTCTCAGTTCATGGCCTGTATTTTTAGGTACAAATAGTGATAAATTGGCAATACATAGAAGCATGGGCACTTATATTTTGAACATTGATTTGTGACAGGATCTCATTCAAATTCCTTCCTTTCTGTAAAGGAAATGTGAAAGCTGCAAAAGTACATGAGCAGGATCAAACTTCCCCAATGATAAGAGTTAAATTGCAGGTCATTAGAAGACACTACAATAAAGGAGCTGAGACTCCCACTTAGGAGTCAGCAGCTTTTTTCTGACTTTTCAGAATAACTGTTACCAGTAACCTGAAATGAGTGAGGGACTGACTTGCGCCCAGTCACTGTGCTGGTGAGGCACCAAAGCTATCAGAAGGCTCCAGACAGGTGAGGCCAAGGCAAACTCCATCAGCAGTGGAGTGGGCTGAAGCCATGCAATGTAACACGAAAGCAGCAGATGGCAGCATTTGTCCCCCTTCAAGGGTCCAACTCCACAGCTGAAAACCAGTTAAGCTGAAAAGAAAGGTTGCTCCTGGTTAAATCCTTGAGGCCAAAATTCTTCTCAGAATGGATGTTCTCTGTTTGGATTGCAGGTTCATACCAGCTATTGCGGTTTGTTATTTTTAATCACCCATTCCAGTGCTACATAACAAAATAAACCAAAACCAAACAATACGGAGCCTTGCGGGTTATTGTGAGCATAGCTGTGCACACCACTGATAGCTTAACAGACAAAAAGGTGACGGAGGAAACAAAAATCATATATCAGTGCTTTTCTGATTTCCTGTAATGTTTGTCGTCATAGCGTTTGCCAGCAAAGAAAAAAGATAGGAGGTCAAAGCAAGCTATGGCACATATGCTCAGTTCTCCCTGGTCTTAGTGGCATCCGCAGTGTGAAGCAGGAAGCAGAATTATACAAGTTTCAGTGCAGCATAAGTGATGACTGCAGTAAGACGTCTATATCGCAGGAAAAAGGCGATTTCAATCTAATTTTAGTACCAGGTCTTCAAATGGGGGTGCCCGGTGGATTTCTGACACCTTTCTGCCTCATTGAAAGCTGTGAGGAGTCAGAGCTCGAAGACTTTATGATGCAGGACCTATAAAAGGGCTCAGGAGTGTGGTGGGTTATGATACTGCAGTTGCCTCTCGGAGTGACATCCAAGCTCCAGCTTTCACTGCTGGATGGGAGTTCACAGCATAGCCAGCAAACTGCACCTGCAGTGCCTGCAGGGACCCAGGCATCCAGCTAGCACTGCATCCTCTGCTATGGCAGAGCTCCATCATGCAGTCACAGATCAATGGGTGTTGTGACCGCTCAGGACTCCTGCCTTGAGCAGTTGGATCAAGTTTGAATGGAACTTCATTCTCTTTCTCTCTCACAAGGATCTGTATTTTGATTGTGTGGTACTAGCTTGTTTTCTTTTTTTCCTTGACAATGTGCAGAGTGATTTTTGTGGTGTATTTTGTAGCTACATTTCTTCTTTCTTTCTCTTTCAGCCTGAAAATATGGGCCAATATGAAACGGACCAGGAGACGAGCTGGGGGATGAAAGGTACGTTACAGTATCATTTCCACTCCATGTTTTCCTCCTTTGAGGATGCTCATTAACAACTTGCCATAAAGAGATCCTCTCATAGTTCACTTAATAATGACTAGATACAGACTTAGCTCAGTATCATGTTTATCACAGAGAATCTTGGTTTTTTCTGACCAATAATAATGGCCAGACTGAAGTCCTGCATCATCAAGTGGTGCAATCATGTTGAGTCAGTATCCTCAGTATCCTAAATATGTGGCAACAGCCTCTGGTTTCTCTTTGCTTAGCAGGTGGTGGTCTTATATCAAAGAGAGGAAAAAATTAAGATAATCACTCCTTCAAAATGTATCAGATAAAAAAGTCCATTGTGCTTCATGTTTGTGCTATAGTGTGGTTAAAATGTACACATTTAAAAAGCAGAATTTATTTGCATTCATTTTTTTTTAATTACAGTTTAAGTGGACTCTGAACTTAATATGGAACTTGGGTTGGAATTTTCAAAATTGCTGAGCAATTTAGGAACTTTCATCTACTCATGGGGAAGAGTAGGATTGTTTCCAAGACACTTAATCTCATGCTTCACTTCATGCATCTCTGTTGATACAAATCTTTGTCTCTATGTTTGTATAGTTTGAAGTACAGATTTTGAAAAGTAGACTCATCTCTGGTTTCATTTCAGACCATAAAAAGGTCTGTGAAAAAATACTGGCTATCCTGGTTGCAGTTAATCATCAATGTGAATAGATGACCTTGTAGTAGTCATATCATGTAGAGTCATATACTGATCTAAGTAGAATACCCCTGTGCTAGTTCAGATCCAGGAATCATCGTCCCCACACCCTGAGATCATATTTTCTTCACTGTTGTTATTCCCACTGCAGTCAGCCCAAGTGCAGAATGTTGGCATCTTGGAATATCGTATTAACTCGATTTTCATATATGTTCCCAAACTGGCATGCCTGTAATTATCCATATATTTTAACTGTTTTCAGTAAATAATAAGGGCAAGACTTTTGGATGACAGACTGACTTAGCTCTGCACAAAAGCCTCCTGTAAAAAGAAATTCCTAATTTTGCCAGACATACTCACTGTGTAACCCAGTGGCATCAGGAGATGGATTTTCTGTAATAAGCCTTTGATTTCAAGGATTTTTGTAAAAGTGCTATAGGCATTCAGAGTTTGGGGGTCAAATGCCTACTATGTATGCAGTTACCTGATGACTACTGAGAAGAGAGAAATGTAGTAGCATAGCAAATTGCTGATGTACCTAAATGTTCATTCTGGTGACTCCAAAAGAGGCCTATAAATTCTAAACGGTGAACCTGTTCTCATTCTCTTGCAGAATACAAGGTAAGAAGGGCTTTTCCAACCCTGGAAGAACAATCAGATTCAGCACTTCCTAGCAAGGTTATATGTGTTCCTTTTTTATTTTATTTTGTTAATTTTTATCCCAGTGAAATATTGGTCAAAATCAGGATGCAAGTATGTACCACCTAAATTAATAAGTTCCCCACTCTGTCATTTCCATACATCAGAATTAGATTTGGCTGGACTTCATTTGCTCTTGTCTTTTTAACAGATTTATCCTTATGAAACACTTATTGTAACAAACCGAGTTCGTGTGAAATTGCCTAAGGATGTGGACAGGACCAGGCTGGAGGTAGGAATGATATTTGCTCAATGGCTTTGCAAGTCTTTGTCCTATTTGTGTACCATTTTAGATATTCCTGTGCCCGACAATGAAAAAAGAGAGAAGAGAGGAATATCATTATATATTATATTTTATTTCAAAATACTAGTATGTTTTGAAACACCTAACTAAAAAAGAATACCCAAAAACCTGGCAATGTCCAACCAAAGGTTGTTTTACAAAGATATTGATGAAACCCAGTGGTTTTGGATGATTATACAGGATATTGAAAGTTGGGATGGGGTAAATTGAAACTTGTTTATTTTTAATTCCTAAAAACCCCACACTTCTAGAATAACCTGAGTATTATAGAAAATCTCTATCTATCCTGCAAAAATATGGACATATGTTTCTGGTCCAGTGCCTTATTCAGTCTCCCCTTTGGCTGTGTCATCCATGATCACTGTACTACGGACTTGCTGTGGCATCCACCTCTCTCAAAGTGTAGTAGTATAAGCTGGAGAAATGCAGATATAATTTATTGTAAAGGAAAGCTTAATTTCCAAAGGCTGAATGCTGAAGTTGTTCAGGTGAAATTCACAAGGTTTATTTTCTTGACTGACTAAATTATTAAACTAGCATATCTTTGTGTGAATTACTATTAAGGAGAAGAGATAGTTCAATAAAAAATACACATTTAACAATATTGGAAGATTTATATTTACAAAAAAAATTGTATTTTTAACTTGATTATGTGACAAGAAAAGAACAAACTTTAATCTTAAAGCAAACAAAAGAAGAAAAACTATGAAGTACCAGAAAGTTCCACATGAAAGATGAAGTTTTTTTAAAAAAATCCATTTATTCTTATGCATGTAGTATATTTTGGAAATGGTGTTATGTTCTTAAATACTTCAATGTGCTTGTCACTTGATTACCCAGCAAGTAGTATTGATTTGACTGTAAGGAAAAAACGTGTGCTGATTTAAGCCTGGGGTAGAGTAAGGCATGATAGCAATAAAGAAAAGATTAATGAGTCCAGAAAAAGCAGCACGGAATTGAAGAGATATGCGTGCGTGTGTGTGTGTGTGTGCGTGCGCGCGCGCGTGTGTGTGTATTAAAGAATAGAGTCTTTGTTTCAACACATGATGCTGGCCTGAATAGCAAATGCAGCTCCAGATTGCTTTTTTAAGACAAAGTATAGTTTGCTTTGGATGGATCCTGCCTGTCCTGGCTGCCATTATCCGTACCTCATACGCTGTCCTCAGCTGGAATTGCTGTTTGTTTAACATCGGAGTTGCTCGGTCTGCCTTGCACCAGGTGCAGCCCAGTGCCTGGTGGCTCAAGTAGCCCAACCACTTCAAATATCTCACAGAGGTTGGCAAAAAAAAAAGAACAATAAGCAAGATGTGCTTCAAACTTGCACCAGGAAAGCAATAAGGGGACCAGGCTGATCCTGCTGCTTGCTGCACTGGGTTGAACGTGTGTGTCTGCAAGAAAGACTCCTTTTTTAGACCATCTTACATTTATTAAGAATTGGTAGACTTTTAAACAATTGAATTAACAGCATTTTAATAGGATTATAGCTACTGGAAAAAGAGACAGCAGCTCATCTACGCATTCAAACCATATGCAGAGTTGAGTGACAGGCACAAACTATTGTCTTCCCCACCAGCCTCTTCCCCTCCTCCCCATCCCTTCCCTCTGCATAACAGAAGTTCTGGAAATAAGTAGGTCTGCACAGAAAAACAATTTATCATTATTTTCTCTTGTGGCAGAATAAGGAGATTGTAACTGAGATGCTGACTTTCACATTCAGCAGATGTCAGGCTTGGGCAAGACCCAGGACTCAGGGAGCCCAAGACTACATGGATTTATAGGTTTGCACAGGAACACACCAGGATTAGACACGCACACCCTCCCATCTGTTAGTATAGGACCCACTTAGCACACCTTGGTATCTTGGAGCTTTTTAGAGGCATACTGGCAATACTGGAAGCAGGTATTAAGATTAGATTTCACCTTTTCTTGAGCTTCATTTCACATTTGCTACAGGGTATGGTTTGATGCTCACAGATCTCTAGGAGACAAGTTCCCTCTCCCAGCAGTGTGGGTTGCCAGCTGATCTGTTTTCATCCTGCACAGCCAATGTCACTCTTGAAAGGGCTGGATTGTGCCTGTGGAAATGGTGAAGGTGATAGCACTGCTAAGCCCATGCATTATCCAAACTGGAGAGTGATTTATCAAGGAAAATCTTCTAAGAAAAAATAAATGTTCTAATATCCCAGTTTTATTTGGATCAGTTTTGTGGGCTGAAGCCTCACCTTGCCTTCACTGCTGCAAACCAGGACGAGCGCCTGGCTGTGATGGCTGTGAACACAGGGCACAGGTGGTATCAGGGAAAGGAGACCTAGAACCATTCTGTTTTATATCAGCTATCAAACATGAAAGCGGTCTTACCGTGTCCAGTATGATGAGACTATCTTACACACAATGTTTCTGATTGCTTGGTCTACTTAGGGGCAATAAAGTGACTAAATCTGCATGAGCTAGACTTATTTAACAAGTTGACTTGACGTTGACTTGAAGCAGGCTCTTCTTTGTGAAACAGAGTTTTTTGTGAACTTTGAATGATCCGGTGTAGATGTCATGGAAAAGGCACTGTTGTTTGTCTCTGATTCCCTCTTCCAAGGGAAGCGTCCAATATTGAGTGCTCCTGTCATGAAAAATGAACTCAAGTAAATGGTATTAGCTCCTTGGTTCAAATTAAGAGAGGCTGCGATGAAGGCCTCGGCTAATGGTCAAGGACCGCAGGAGGGTGGGGTTTTAGTGGGTGGTAGTGCTTTGCTGGCTTTGCTCCCATTGTGAGTATTTTTTAGATTACGCTGTTGTGTAAGAAATTTATTTTACAGATTATAAAAATATTTTCCTGTGAAAATGCATATTTTTCTAAGCCCAAGAGATATCTAGAGATTAGGAAGGCTCAACTGGCAATAAATGCATTCAAATAATAGGAATTCTTTCTTCAAAAGCACATATATCTAAGTCTGGAAATACTGAGCATGTTTTTGTTTGCTTGTTCTAACTCAGTGGTGAGGCAGAAGTAGCCCAGTTCCTTGTGCTCCTTGAGGAGGTGTTTATGCCAGCAGCGAACTAATGCATGCAGCATTGAGAACTAGTTATAATAAACAACTTGCTGGTTTTTAAATACATTACTGGCACTCTGAGTTTTGAATGAATAGCCTGGATCTTCATTTAGTATAAGCTGATTTGAAATGTGAGGAATTTACACTAGATAAGGATTTGGCCCAAGAATTTTGTAGAAGTTTCTCTGTACCACAGTGCTGTTTATTCTAATGTTAGATGAATGGAACAGCCTTCCTGGGAGCTATTCTAAAGGGAAATGATGAAGAGCAAGTGAATTCAGGTAATATTGCAGAACAATAAAGCAGTAGCACAGGATTGGATTATGCAGTCTGGGTGAAGAAGGGAAATTGCACACTAACCACATCTGCAGATGACACAAACGGTAACAGAGCACTAAACAGGCTGCCCAGAGAGGTTGTGGAGTCTCCTTCTCTGAAAACATTCAAAACCCTCCTGGACACGTTCCTGTGTGATCTTCTCTGGATGATCCTGCTCTGGCAGGGGGTTGGACTGGACGATCTTCAGAGGTACTTTCTAATCCCGACCAGTCTGTGATTCTGTGTCTAGAGCATGTTGCCCAAGAGGCTGTGGATTCTCCATCCGTGAAGGCATGCAGAGCTCAGTTGGACAAGGCCTTGAGGGGTATGGTCAAATTTTAAAGTTGGTCCTGCTTTGAAGACTTCTGTAAATCCCTAATTTACTTCAATTGGTATATTCTGTGAAGACAAAGCCTTAACATATTATAATTACGAAATAGGATTATTTGGTACTCCTGCTGCAATAACATTTGAAAAAATTCATTATTTGGTCTATCTTGAAGCATTTTATCAAAAGGATTATTTTATTATACAGGGGCTTAAATGTAAGTGTCCTAGTGGAAACTTCCCACTGAAGTCCCAAGTTTCTAGGGACTAGGACATCACCTTTGGATGGCACATATTAGCACATTCCTTACCTGCTGGTTCCACATGCTCTCGTCTGTTGGGGATTTTTTGTTTGTTGGGTTCTTTTTTTCCCCAAAGCAAATGCTTATGCTTATGGACACTTTTGAAAATCATGCCTCTTTTAAGTACTTGAGTACCTTTTTATGATTTAGGCCTTGGGCTCCTAAAAGGATGCACTTGATATTTTTTGCCTGTTATTCAGTCGCAGCAATGTGATTCAGTGCTTGCACGTCCAAATTGATGGTTCCTGCCCAGCTGCATAGTTATATATGTTTTGTTTTACCTCCCAAAGTTGCTTTTATCACAGAGTATAAGATTTCTTCTGTGGTCACAGGCTGTAGTTTTGAAAGCCAACATAGAGTTTCCCATTTGGAAACCATCTTTTCGTGTTTTCATTGATTTTCTTATCTTAATGTATCTTAGTTTCTTTAGCCTTTTCTTTTGAATGTCAGAGAGTTAAAAGCATTATTCATTCATGCCTATCAAATACAGTAGAAAGTAAATTATTCCACTTTTGTTTGAGCCTGTTCATTCTTTGTTTAACAAGGATACAATTTCTAAGGAAAAAAGTATTCTGGAATGTCAAGTAGCAACTTTCATCTGCCACCTTGTTCTTTTGTAAACAGAAATGAGAGATTTAAACATGGGTGCGGTCTTGTTTGAACAGAGCACTCAGATTAATTCAAACATGCTTTTCCTCCTGAAGCTGCTTGTCTGGATTTGTTTTAAGGATGACATTTTTTCCACTAGTTTTTATTCAACCATCACCCTGGGTTCTAGCCATTTGGGCTGCAACCATTTTAGGACTGGTTTCCAGTAACTGAGTCTGAATTTATAACAGCCCCAGCTCCTAGATGTTCTTCATACAAGTAACGTCATGTGTCCCACCTCCTCTGGAGCTCAAATGGGGAAAATCAGAGCAAAACTGGAATGATGTAT